TATTCAAACATTGTGGAAAGGGATGAAAAGATGAGAATAATCCCACCTTGTCAACTTGTAAATATACTTTGCATGCAGAAGTTTCCCAGCTTTTCCTGCCTGAAAACTTGGAGAACCTCAGCCTTTAATGTATAGGGTAGACCTTATTATGCCCTGTGAACCAATGGTCTTAATTAACTTAAATAAATTAACAGATATAGTAATGTGATTTTTTTCTCAGAGCTTGAATCAAGTGGATGGTTCTTTCACTATAAGGAGAACACCAGTAAGTGCATACCCACCCACATACCTACCATCATCTCAGTTCTTCTATGGCCTAGTTCTCGGCAGTGCTAGCCCAAGACGTTTTGTTACCAGAAGCAAAACAGAAATGGTCCACATGTGCAAACTAATACACCTGTAACTGCTAAGTCCAGAACTCCTGATAGTCTGTCTGGACCACGCAAAAGCCAGTTTCTACTTTCATCTATCTAACTCTGTGTCCACTGTGCTGCTCCTAGCTTCCATGGGCAGAAATGTTCAGAGAGGTGGGGTTTTTTTTTCAATTTATCTGATAACCTAAGCACTAAAAAAACTAACAAGTCAGTCCTTCTCCTAACATCCTGTTCTTCTAAGCACAGGGGTTTATTTTATTTTGTATGAAGGAACACTTTGTTTCTTTGCTCATGCATGCACACACGGGCATACGTGCACGTGCACACACACATACACATTACAGGAGCTCTACATGGTTTTTTGTGTTAGAAGTAACTTTCAGCATTGCTATCTTTCATCCTCATCTCCCAACATGACTCTGTGAATACAGCCTTTTTTCCTGGCACTAGATTAATAGTCTCTTAGGATAGAATATACATTTCACATTCTTGTAGAGGTGACACTGTCTTGGATCAATCCTTGCCAATTCAGTCAATGGACAGCATCTACCAACCAAATTACACCCAATTTGGATCAACATAAACCAAGCAACGTGCATGGTTCTGAAATTTGACAAATTTATTGTAGATGCATTGAATGTCTCATACTATGACTTTTTCTAGAAGCCAATTTTTTGTTTCAGATATGCGTTAAACCAGTATTACTCAAGACTTATTCTCTCTAATAGATATTATTCAAGAAACTGCTGACAAGAAAAGATGTTGTGTCTAACAAATTATTTAGCATCTCACATAATCTAACTCTAAGTGCCAAGTAAGTAAGTAAGTAAGTAAGTAAGTAAGTAAGTAAGTAAGTAAGTAAGTAAGTAAGTAAGTAAGTAAGTAAGTAAGTAAATCCAAATCCAAGCAATGGAAATGTACACATCTCCGCACTCAGTTCTGTTCTTCACATATACTACCACAGAGAGGTAGTGGAACACACCTAAAACACCTCAGTTGACAAGTAATGTATTAAGCAATATCTGATAACAAGCAGAAATACCTTACTATTGATATTTCCAAGTGATTCAAGCATCCATAAATAGGAATACCTAATTTTTTTTTTGTAAAATTCAATTTCTATTTACCACATAAAATATACAGCCATCTTTACAGTGTCTAATACGCATAATGGAAGTATTTTCAAGAGCGAGAAATGTGAAGGGCAATTAGCATCATTTGCTCCAGATGCACAAATTTCTGATAATGACCTCTCTCATTACAATATTTTGAAAGGCAAGCTTATAAGGCATTTCCATGGACAGTGTTAGGACTCTGATTTCATCTTAGTACAGTAGCTGGAAGATCCAGATGACTGAATCAGGTCCAAGATACTAACTACCATACCACAAACTGTTCCCTGACAGTAACACAAGGTATATCAATAGTACAGATGCAGTGCACTCTGCAGGAGAGGCATTTCTTCTCCAAGGGAACCTTGGGAATTGTAGTTCTATGAGGAAGGCTAGGAATCTGCAACAGGGAATGTTCAGCACTCTCATTAAACTACAATTCCTACAGTTCTTCCAAGGAAGCCATTTTACTTGAACTGGGATAAAACCAATATATGTTCAAAGCATAGCTATACACACAGAATCACAGTTCTGTAATATATACAGTAATTGTTAACTGCCTTGAGCAGTTATCCAAATCATCACATCTGCCTGATCTTCGCATTATGTTTAATTACTTTTTAATGACATCACCTGTGGATACTATGATCCAGCAAGAAATGCTTAGTTAATTCACTGCTTCTGATATGGAATGTCCTGTATAATAATAATAACCTTATAACTGCAGAATCGGATCCTATAGATCATCAAGTCCAGCTCCTGTCAAAGAGGCCCAGCAGGGAATCGAACTCCCAAACCTCTGCAGCCAGATGCCTAAACAACTGAGTTATCCAATCGTTCTGTAACCGTTACTATACTCATAGAATTCAGCAATCACTTATGAAGACTGGCTTACATTTTAAAATGTTCTCCTATGGCAATATTTGTAATTAGAAGGAGAGAACATTTTCCTAAACTTAAGTGTCAAACAAATGATTTCCAAGGCATTCTAAAAATTCTGATGCATCCACCAGAAATTCCCTAACAACCATGCAGAAGAGAGTTAACTACAATACCATTACTATCTCTTCTGCAATTTACACCAATAGTAAAACTGCAGAAAATCATATGATGCCAAAACTGTTTTGTTCACCCTCTATTGTCACTGACTCCAGGTATGAACCACAATACAATCTCTATGCTGCTACGGTGTGCCTCTGGACCTCCAATGCAACTCAAATGGCCCAAGTGTCTCAGCAGACAGTATCAGCCCTTTAATTTGTTATCTTCCAGTCCAGTATTTCAACAAGATCATATTATATATTATTAAAAATAAAACCTGTGTAGACTTTTTCAAATACTCAAGGCACTTCTATATAATCTTGGTTACAACCACCCTACATGGGTAGGCCAATGCCTTTAGACACATATTGCAAATAGGGATCTGAAGGTGAAAGAGAATGGCTTGCCTTAAGTCGGTTAAAGTCTCCATGGTAAAAAATGACATCTGAATCTTGCCTGCTACATTTAATCATGTTGCATTTCTAATAACACTAGGAAAGACTTCAGAATACACAGTTTAAAGTCTTTTTTAGGAAGACAGTTTTATCATATTCTTTGATTTCTTTTGAAGACTAATCATTTGTTAAGCTGATTTCTCTTTTTAGCCTAATCTTCAGCATTCTCAGCATTTGCATTTTAATGTATTTAGCTCCCTTGAATGAAGGATCCTATGGGATCTTTAGGTAAAAACCTGAAGAGAAACATGAAGGGCCAAATTCCATTGTGGGGATAGACTCGCTCAAACTATAAGACTAAAATTAAAATTAAAATAAATAAAACAAGACTCAATAACCCTTATTGAACAAGTCAGTTACTCTGGTTGGGACTAACAATCAGAATTGTCTCAAAATTTCCAGAATCAAGACAAAAGTATATTGTGCATGAATGACATATGGTCTTCCCTCTGTCACCAGCATCTGATATCCATGTACATACAATGTCCCTGAACAGAGATTTCAGAAAATAGCTATTAGAAAATTTAGCCTCTGTGAATTAGTTTACCAATACCTCATCAATTAGATAGGAACTTACTCTCTGCAGATTTTCATTGAAAAATGCAAGGTTTCCCATCTGCCACCATTCTTCTAAACTACAGGGTGGGGAATACGTGACCCTCCAGATGTTTCTGAAGTACAACTACAGTGGCCCGAACCAGCATAGCCAATAGTGAAGGATGATAGCCACTGCAGCCCAGCAACATCTGTAGGGCTTTAGCTCTTATGAAGGCACATTTGGGGGTTCTGTAATGCTTTTTAGGAGCGTCGAGGCCAAAGCAGAAAACCAAATTAATTGAGAGAGAATTATCTTCTCCATAGACAGGCAACACTACCACCCTCGAATTCCTGTTTAGTGTACCCTTGTCTTCCACCCCCACAAGAAAAGCGACACCTGCAAGTAGGAGGACACCACAGGCAGTCAAGAAGCTCCCTTTTAATTGCTGGCCTATTTAAGGTTCCTTTCTGACTCATAACACTGGGAACATCATTGGTGCCAGGACAGAAACCAAGGCGTCCAGGCTTCAGTTTTAGGCGAATCATCATCCACACATACTGGCAAGAGTTCACACTCAAAATTCAGAAACACAATCTAAGTAGACTTTTCCCCTTTAGCAGCGCTTCCTAGATATTGCAACATGGAAAAATGAGAGAACCATGAATACACAGAATCCCAAGGCAAGCTACATTTTTACTCATCCATTTTAGTACTCCAATGATCATTCTTCAACTGGGCATGTTATGCGAATGCTTTCTTCTCATCAGTAGCAGTTAAGAATCAAGGGCCCACCAGCCAGAAGGGGCATCATTATACAGCTGATAACTCTTCACTGTACTCTCTCAATACAGTTGCACAGGTCCTTCCGTCATGCCATAAGGTGGCTAATTGCTATGAACCTCTGCACCATTCATTCTGCATGTCTCTTTTGACCATGAGGTCTGTCAGTATCTTGTTCCCACTCTCTTAATGGGCTATGGGTTGACCCCCAAAATGAACCAACTCCACACCTCCATGGCTCACTTGACCAATCTTGCACAGCTGCAAGGTTTACCAATGTCCCACACTTAGCCCATTCACACCAGCAGAACACACCCCTATCCTGAACATCTAAAAGTACCTGACATGCTTCCTAAATTCATGCAAACCAACACACACACACATGCACACACGCACACATGCATAAATGCATGAAGTCACAACCACTCACTTTCCTGCAGGACACAGCAAACAGATTTTCACCAAGATTTTATTCTGATAAAACTGGTCTCAAAAAGTGAATATTTCCTACCCTATGTTAATAATAAGAAGGGGAGGAGGAAGCTAATACCATGAATCACAGCTAAGGAGAAACCTGAATCATCTTGCTATAACAGAAAAAACACCAGTCAAAACTGTCCCCCCGCTCCACCACCCAGGCGAATATAGCAAGCACAAATTTTGTCTTATTCAACATGACCCGACAGCAATTTGTACTTACTCTGATCGGACTATCCCCAATGCCTTGATGAAGGAGAACCCCACAAATGGTAAATCTTCTCCTGAGAAGCCTGCAGGGTTCAGCTGGCACAGAGGGGATACAATTCGTGAATTCTTCTCTGGTTCATCGAAATTTGAGGTGTCATCATCAGACTTGAGAGTAGGCACAAAGGGGGGAGGAGCTGGTGATTTTGCCGAAAAACATAAAGTATAAGAAGGAATTAAAAAAAAATTAGCTGCAGTTTGCTGTCAAAGTCCCTCTCATTCAGCATTTTCAATGGCACTGCAGCTCCTGCCTTTAATCTTGCTAACACCAGCAGGCAGAGCCACTGCTCTCCAACCTATTACAGCAACAAGAGATTAACCCTTCGATTACCAACATGGCCACCATTCTGCAGGCAGAGCATCTCTTGCTGCTTTTCAACCAGCTTTGATCCTTTTAAAAACAAAAATAAGCCAACATCTAAACATGATATAAAATGTTAAGTCCCAATCTTCTCTGTTTCACAGGACACTTTCTCCTAATCTTTCTGGAACATGAAAGATTCATTTATGTTGCCTAACAAAATAAACCAGATGCTCTGCACCTACAGAACGGAATCGTGAGCTGAACAGCAGCAGTGGTAACCTAGCCCAGATTACGGACCTTCGTCTCCCATTAGTACATTAAACCTTGCCTGGAGAAGTGCTGCAGTGGCTAAATCTCAACAGTCCTTTCAGAAGGAATAAACCCACCACCCCACAGCTTGTTGAACACTCTTGATGGGACACCACTGCAGTCTAGCTTCAATGCTACCAACTCTGATCTAATAGGCAACAACAGGAATCATTTCCTCAACTGTCAACTGGCATTCTACGGTCTCCTGCATCCCACATTTCAGCTTCATTTCCCATCCACATTTGCTGCAATTTTAGATAAAAGCATCAGCAACAGCAAAATCCTGCAAATGGAAGTTTCCCCTAACCATGCACAGCAGCAGAACCGCAGCAGAACCGCTTGCTGGACCAATATTATGCAAGAGCTTCCTTCACTAAAATCATGCACCTTCATTGGTTTTAAATATGCATTTAATCACTGGAAGCTGTCGCACAATGCAAATCAGCCAGGGATCTGTGAAACAGACATCCCTCCAGCCAGCTTGCTCACCGTCACAAGCTGATGGATGTATCGTGTGCCAACGCTGTTACCATGGATTCCGTATAGATCTCTCGCAGCTGAAGGGCTGAGAGGAAATGAAGCACTGGGAACCAGCATTACAGTCCCTGCAGTGCAGGCACCCTGCTTCTCACTCTGTGCATGCTCCAGAGTTTTAACTCTGCCTCCCTCTATTCCTGACAGATGCTGATAGTTATCTGACAGATACAAGCAGAATGAGTCACTGCTGGAGCTTGCGAGCTCCCTCTAGGCTGCCAGAGCCTTTTGCAGGCAAGAGTTTTAACCCTTCAGTTCTCGACTCAGCTGCTTTGAAACCAGCACAAGTGACTAGAATTAATACATTCCACTCCCCCTCAAAAAGGTTCTTCCTAATTCACATACTTTGGCAGGATTTCACATGGAAAATGCTGATGCTGCAAAGGAGATGGACCAGCAAACTGCTGTTCCCAGAGGTTAATGATAACTAAGAGTAAGTGGCAGGGTGAGTGAAAGTCAATGATATTATGCACTGCTTTGATTAAAAATGTATATGTCAGGACTGAAATAAAATTATTTTGACACATTTTAAAAATCAAAGTTGATATTTTTTTCCTGAATCTGAGATGATGTCAGTTTTATTTTAAGATATAATATTATTTAAGTTTTTAAAATGCCATCCTGTACCATATCTGATCTCATAGGCAGTATACAGAGTAAAACAAATGCAACCCCACATAGCAAAAAAAACGTAAAAAACAAAAAAATGTACAATAGAAATACTGTATCACTTCTAGCATCATTTCTAGTCGAGTTTTAAACATACCAAGAAAAAAAGATTCTGGAAACATTTCACTTGCAACTCAAATCAGAGCGAAAGGCACTCATTCCCCTTGGTTTCCCCATCATTCTTCTTTCATCCAAAAGTCTAATAGCAAAGATAGCAGCATGTAGGAGTGCTTCTCCTCTGTCAGTTGCTGGGAAAGATAAAATCATGAATCTTTGCTTTGGATTGTCTTGAAATTCAGAAGGCCTGTAGCAAATTAATTGTTTTCAGATGTTTTTAACCTTGAGGATTATTTCATTCCCCTACTTTTAGGCAATGTGAATACAGAGTTAGTTCAAAAGACACTATGGTTACCTTTAACCAGGTTTGAAAACCAACCATGAGCCCTAGGTTAAAGCAATTCATGACTGCCATTACAGACATAAAACTCATCCATGTTTGATGCTAGAAAGGAAAGAGACAGCTCTATCACATAGTAAGGAAAAGGAAGGACACAAACTAATATGGCATTCTAATTATCCTTAAAAGACAGAAAAACATAACATCAAGACCCAGGCAAGGGCATGGTTAAGATGCAATAATAATTTGACCCAAAGAGCTCAAGAAGCATATATGCCCCATAAAGGACTGGGTAGATGATTTTTAAACAATAAAATACAGCATCAAATAGCCTGCATTTCTTCTTGGTGTCTGGACATAAGTTCTCTGACTATCCTGGCACATACTAAGTATTCAAGAACTTATACCTATCCTCTTTCTACAGATCTCATAATACTGTGGAGCACCTTCCAGTCATACCCTAGTACTTGATCAGCATGCCTGTTGCTTCAAAGCAAACAGACATCCTTATTTCATTGCTATTCTTCACAGTGGCAGGTGCCATAGACTGAACAAAGACCCATGGGGAGCAGCCACTGGTTCTCTGCCCCATCAGGTAAAGCTGGTCAAAGGGAGGAAGTACAGGGCATTTCAGAACTCTGAAAAGTTACTTTTTGAACTACAACTGGCACACACACACACACACACCCATAACCAGAATGTCAGCTCTGGGCAATCCGTGCCCACAATTCACACACTCTGGAAGATCAGGGACCAATCTGGTGACAGTAAAGGCTCTCAGATCTTTCAACTACTCTTAATCTGGACAATCTTCTGTGGCGGGATGTTCCTCCATGCTCCTAGACTACTGCGCCTCAGTGCCAGAACAGGAAGGGAAAGACAAAGAAAGAAAACCAAGCACTAAAAGAACATTGGAGGAGAACAGAACTGTTACAGAAAAATTATTTTGCAACACTTCTATTTGTCTAAAGAGATATTTGTCTGATCAATGCTTCTATTCCTATGGCTTTATTCCCATGACTGATATCCCTCAGTACTTAATTGTGTTGCATTTTATTGCCCTGTGAAATGTAACCCTTTGACCTAGCTAGTGGGAGCACCTACCAGTCCAGCCAGTCTCCTCACACAGAGTTGGATAACCAGACAGGCTGCCCACAGTGTCTAATCCGATCAGACCTCCCCTTTTAGGGGAATGACCTGCAATACTTATTATGAAACATTCCATTGTCCTGTGTACATAGCTTGGGACACAGCAGACATAAGGAGGACATACTTGCCTTATTTGGGGAGTGTCAAAATGTAACTTGCTAATTTCTGGGATTAGTTGCTACCCTCCAACTTCTTGATCAAAGATACTATAAAAGCTGTGTGATTGATCCATGTTTTTGTACTCCTCTTTCAGAGGGTACCGCCACCGGTTGGAATAAATTACTTTAGTTGCCTCTCTTACTTCTTTATTATTCCACCTCCAAAACCCACTAAGAGACCAAAACTCTAGGTGTGTTCCAATCACACCCACAACAGAATGAAACAAATGGTGATTGTCCCATAAACATGTTCATTTGAAACTAATGAAGCAATAAAGTCACCAAAGGTCATTGCACTTTTGCTAGTGACATTTGCTCTGAAATAAGTCCCATTAAAAATATTTAATATATAATCTAGTTGGGACAGTCAACTGAATTTATCCTCACATACAGTGGTTCCTGTCACGAAAGGTCAACATACTGCACTCATTGTTATACAGGAAACAAAATTCCTAATTGTTTATTAAGCTTACATTAAAAATGGATATTGTCAAATAGGCAATTTCCCTTGGTGTAGTTTACAATCATAACATTCCAGAACAGACAATAACATAACAAATATTGTAAGCAGCTGTATTAAAACAACGAAATTTTGATCCATTAAAAAGACCAACCAAAAAAAACCCACCTTATAATAAAAACTGTGAACACATTTCAGACAATAACATAACAAATATTGTAAGCAACTGCCATTAAAAAGACCACAAAAAACACCTTATAATAAAAACTGTGAACACATTTAAGATTAAATCCCTGACTCATAGAGGGAGGTCTTAGCTTGCCATCTAAATGTATATAAGGAGAATGCCAGGAGAGGCCCTTAGGAAGGGCACTGGCCACAACAGATCATGTCTCAAACAGAGCAGCCACCAGGGCAAGGATAAACAGAAACAATCATCCACAACATGCACACACAAATTTCTACAAGCTGTCTGGAGTGCTAATACTGGACAAGAACATTTTCTGCAGAAAGTTTACCATCATGGTAAGGTTTAAGTCCTATAATTTTGCCTCTTTTAAAATGTGCCAGGGTACCCTGTAGTGAAGAGAGTGACAGACTAAGGATTCAGGAGGTCTGGGTTTGAATCCCTGCCCAGCCAGGGAAGCTCCCTGTAGGAGCAGAACTTCTTAAATATCTCCTAGGCAGCTCTATTAAGGCTGCTACAAGTCAGTTCTAATTTAACATCACAGAACTAACTAAAAATGCTATATTTCATAAATATAATTAATAAAATAACAAATCAGTACAATACCAAACTAGACCATTAAAATATCAGTATCAAATTATCTTTCTTCAGGTGGCTCGCCTTATGAAGCAGTCATGGCTACATAATGAATGTAAATCCTCATCGCTCTGGTAAGCTCAAATCAGTATGTAAACAGTATTCCATTTTTTCCATAAAGGTTAAACCAACTGAGTGTTTGCTAACTTCATCTTAAATATGTACTAATTTGCTAGTAAATGTTTATTTTTTTCAATATTTAAAATCACATTAAAAGTTTAATTCTACGGTGCAAAATCCAACTATTTTAATATTGCATTTTAAAATTGCTGTTAATGTTATTAGCATCCTTAAGGACTTTTTTTTGTGGAGACACAGGATACAATAGCAAAAAAAATGCTCATCACTACACCATCACTCCTATTGCCACTAGATAGGTCTCCTGGGAAAGGAGGGTACACCAGGCCTCCCTTTCTTTTGACTGAGAGGTAGGTCTACTGCCAAGATATCTGTCGCACCAGCATAATGGGGTAGGTTTTACTTCGGCCACTTCTGACACTACTTCATTTTCATAACTTAGGAAAAAGCGGCTTCTCTGCCACACATTCTTGCACTGACTTTTGCATCCCGTCTATAATCAATTTTCTCCCCAATCAAATGTTTCAATTCCAATCTTACTGACCGGTGATTGGAGGCTTAAGGTATTTACAGGGCATAAGAAAATTAACATGTCACAGTTCCATAGTGTGTTCTGCCACTGCTGCTTCTGGAGCTAACAGAAGGAGGAGGAAAAGAGGGAACAGCTTGGGCTGCTGCGGCAAGCTAGGAAGCTGTGGTCCATCTCGGAGGTCCAAGGGATGCCCAGACCTTGGGACAAAGGCAGGTCCTTATCCAAAAGTCTGTGAGAAGCTGAACATTATACCAGTAGTTCAACTGCCAGGTTTGGAGCCAAATATAGGAAGGAATGCAATTAAGGCTGGGCCACATTAACCCCTCTAAACACACCATTTACACTGTACAAAGAAAGGAGTGGAAAAATGTGCTCTACCATAGGTTTAAGTGACCAAACGAGTCTGAATTGCCACAAAAGCAATAAAGACTACCCTCAACCTCATTACTCCAACGTAAGAAAATTCATAATCACCATAATTAAAGCTTATTTGTAATATCAATAGGCATAATTTAGTTTTAAAGCAAGTCATCTTCTTTAGGTGTGGGGATATAGATTATTTCTTTTCAGAGGAAAAACAGCATTAAATGGAAGGTTCCGATTACAATCAAAACACTTCAGTAGAAGGTTAGAACTCTGCATTTTCCTCAAAAAAGTAAAATGAATAAAACTAGAAGCCTGCATTCTCTTTAGCCTTCCAGAGCAGTGTTCTGATAATGTTTGGATCAGTGAATGATTTCTTCCTCACAGAGGCTCCTGAATGTATTTGCTTAATCCAGGTGTGGGGAAAGTATAGTGCTGCAAACCTAGCCAGCATAGCCGATGGGAAAGGATGGTGTGAGTTGCAATCTAATAACATCTGGAAGATCAGACATTCACTGCCCCAGTCTAGTCAATCTTCAAGTAATTCAGAGTTATGTCTTTCTGTCTCAAAAATGATCTTGAGAACGAGAATGTGTTGATTTCCTTATAAAAATGTGTTCAGCAGTCAAGCTTTCTAGATGGAGTTCATAGGGGTCTGAGACTACATTTTATGAGTCTCGAAACACATCAGTTCTTCTTGCAAATGTGTACTCTCCCAAGACACAGGTCCTCTCCCCACATCTTGACAAGCAAGATTTTAAATTAAAGTGCTGCCTCTATCTGCTAATCCAGTGGTTCCCAGAAATCCTGGCCAGCACAGCTAGTGGTGAAGGCTTCTGCGAGTTTGAGCCCAAGAACATCTGGGGGACACAAGGTTGGGAACCACTGTGCTAATTAGAGGGCTCAAGCTTTGGAGCTTTGGAGCTAGTTCCTGTCACTGATCTGCAAGAGACCTGGGTTTATAGAAATCATCCTGGGTTTCCCTAACTTGACCTTCTTGCTTTCTTTCCTGTTATGAACCAAGCACTACAGCTTTCTTTGCATCCTTGTTATTCATTGAGTCCACAGCAAACATTACACGGGGGCAGCATTTGTTCCCCAACTTTTGCAGTCCTATTTCATTGGATTCATTTTCTTTTTTTAATCAAGTCAGTTCCAATGAGACAAATTAGAGCATCAAAAACTTGCTCTGAATTGTTATGCATCACCGCCAGCTCTCTCTGCAACACACGAGGAATGTACAGCCCTCAAGATGCTGTTGAACTCCACACCCTATCAATCCCAACCAACAGTGACTACAATGAGGAATTATGGGAAGTACAATCCAACAACAGCTAGAACAACACTGTTTTTTACTGTTGGTTGAAAGCAACAAATTAGAGTATTGTTATTGTTATTAAAACAATTTCCAACTTGCTATCCAAACTAAAAACCCCAACAGTGCCGTTTATTGCAAACTTTAATATATGGAGTAAAGAACTGAGTCATAAAAAACACATTCAGTATACAAATCATTAAAGCATATAAAATAGCAGCAGCAGATAAAACCTTATTACAAGATGTAGACTGGGGAAAAAAGGTTGCTGAAGTCACCAAGGCAAGAGGAGATACTGAGATGTCTCAGATGATGGTTTAAGTTTGGGCAGTTCCTGTGAATGGCAAATCGCCCTCTAGATTGCCTAGTTACAAAACATTCATGGTTCAGTTCACTCTTGTGCTCATCCACTGAACTGGAGATCAGGAAGATAACACAAAGGACTTCAGATCATGATCCAACAGCTCTGAAGCTCATAAGTGACTAGTTGCTTGCAAATTATTCTCCCCCTCGCCCCCAAGTAATGAAGGTATATTTGGTTACATTTGTAACTGAGCCAACACCAACTGCATTGCTTTTGTGCTGAAATGATTACTTTTTAGTTATTTTACAACAAGAGGAGTGTGGCTTCACTAGGTGGAAGAGGAAGAATGTCGTATGTTGCAAGGGCCGGCTCATACTGTCCCCATGTTCTGCTCTGTCAGTGTCTGGTATTCTGTTACAGTTGTAGACAAGATGGACAGAAAGCAACTTTGTGTATCACAAGTCAGCTGCCCATATAGCAAAGGATTCTTTTCCATACAATTAAAAATGTTATTTTGATCTATAAAGAGTTACTCTTCAAAAATTGTAGCTATGTGAGAAGCTACCTACTTTGCTACCTAAAACTGTAACAGTAACTAATCACCTTTTACAAATAACATCCCATGTTCTGCACAAGTTGGGACATGAATTGGCAGGCAGCTTTGTGCAATATTTGCGGACTAGACTTCCCTTAGCTTGCTGGATAGCTCAGTGGTGTAGGTCTTTGGTCAGTGATTGGGAATTTACTTCCCTACTGCGCCTCCTAAGATAGAGCCAGCCTGTGCAGCTTTGGGCAAGCTGCACGGTCAGGACGCCCTCAGAAGAAGGGAATGGTAAACCGTCTCTGAGTATTCTCTACCTAAAAAACCCTGGAAACTGCTACTAACTGTTAAGATCATCAGGAGAGGCCTTTCTCTCAGTCCTACTGCCGTCACAGGTGCATTTGGTGGGGACAAAGGAGAGGGCCTTCTCTGTGGCTGCTCCCAGACTTTAGAACTCTCTTCTACAGGAGGCCAGACTGGTTCCATCTTGGCTGTCCTTCCGCAAGCAAGCAAAGACCTTTCTCTTCAGGCCAGCTTCCCCTCGTAACTGATAGCCTGAGTGGAATTGATAAGCGCTGTTGGGCCTTCCTGCTTTGAATCTATTTTTGGTCTTGTTTTTGCTTACAGTCTTGTTGTGTGGGTATCTGATCCTTCCTAGCATTTGTATACTTACTTTTTAGCTTTAAATATTGTCTTTTAATCATACGAGGCCTTTTTAAGAAGAAAGGTGGGGTAAAATATTTGAAATAAATAAGTCCGAATTGACTTGACAACACATTAGTATTATTAACTTCCCTGAACTAGTTTGCTAGCTATATTACCGGGGGAGGGGGGAGTTTGTCGTTCTTTATTTTACTTTGTCTGCACCAAAGAAGGGGTCTAAATTGTCTTTCTCAAGTTAGTTCCTTCACCAGAGGTTAGAACTATAACAGTGTAACATAAATAACCTTGTCTTACTTTAGAAGTTAACCAGGGCTACGACTGGCTAGTACTTGGATGGGATTCCATCAGAGAATATGGTAACTCCAATTATATTTTATCAGCACCATGTTACTCCCGTATATAATGAAGTATTGTGCCAGACTAGAGACTAACAGATTTATTTCTGTGTGAGCTTCCTTATTTTAGAAGTTAACCAGGGCCACGTCTGGCTAGTGCTTGGATGGGATTCCATCTGAGAATATGGTAATTCCAATTATATTTTATCAGGACCATGTTACTCCCGTGTATAATGAAGTATTGTGCCAGACCAGAGGCTAACATATTTATTTCCGTGTGAGCTTTTTCAGAAACCACAAAGGGACCCACTGAAATCTTTAATATGCCACAACATATTTGTGTTTTCTTTTGTTCTTATTATACTTGCTCAAACAGACTAACTCGATCAATCACGTCACTGAAAAATGCTACTCACTATTACGGATGTGATTCCACTCTATTGCGGAAAAGAATGGATGAGAGCAAAGGCCTTCATAATCTAGTCTCTCTTTCTGCCCACACAGCAAACTCTGCAGTAGATCAAGAAATTCATTGCTGATTTTCACATCCTCAGGGAACTTCAGAAACCTCTGCATTTCAAACAAAAATAAATCTCACTCGGTATAAAGAATTCAAATGTGAAAGGCTGCTGCCTAAAAAGCTACTTTAGTCAAGCAAAAGAGTTTATAGATACCCAGTGGACCATTTGAATTTGTATCTTCTTAGGCCATACAGCAAACTGTATTTGACACTTTCCTTAATTATGCAAACAGGAATTAAACTACTGGTTAAAATATACAAGTCTGTATTTCCTTCAGACACACAGACTATTTACATAATTATTTGGATTCTAATCATAAGCTTTTATGTTGTTGCGGTGCAGTTAAAGAATTAGTTAAACATAACTGTCCATAAGCGTGCAAGGAAGCCACAGAATAACAGCCTCAGACTGCAAATTCCTAAGAATCTCAGCTATTTTTTATAGAAAATAATTTTTCTGGCACCTATGCAAATGAAAACTTCAAAGTACAGAATTCTGAGATACCACAGGACTGCCCTACAAATAAGGAATTCTGAGATACCACAGGACTGCCCTACAAAAATTTCCAGTATTTCAAGATGGGACTTGTGTGCTCTCCCAAGGTTAGCAGAAGTAGACTAAACCATGCAAACAACAACAATCTTGAAAATGTGTGTTATGGAGATACAGGCAATAAAATTTCCTGTTCGATGCTGCAAAATATCAGTTTATAACATAAGCGTTGTTGATTTTAAACTGTAAAATACATACAGCTTTGGGTAAAATTCAAGTTATGATTGAATTATGTATTGTTATTGGCTGATCAGTGCAAATTGAACTAAACCCCAAAAACTTTACTGCTAATATAGTCATAGAATAGAAAGTAATTCATGGAAATTAAGCAACACTTATGTATGAAAGATTTAGGACACTATTATATAAAACTTTGAATGTGGCAAAAAAAGAAAGCTCTGGTTTCATTTGTGCTGGGGGGAAAAGCCCCATTTATACCTGAAAATTCATGATGTTATTGAAGGTTTTGGTTGAAGTTCCTTCAGTAAATGGAGATTTTCCATAAATCATTTCATATGCAACCACCCCTAGAGACCACCAATCACATTCTGATCCATACGAACTCATGCCATCACCATTCAAAACCATTAGCACCTCTGGGGCCATATAATCTGGAGTCCCAACTGGCAGTTTAGCATTCACCTGGGGAGAAGAAAGAGAATAGGTAAAAGTTCAGGTTCTGATCTACTCCAGAAATCAAAGATCTGACACATTACTTCTGGAAGCAAAATTTAAAAAGGTCTGCCACTATCAACAGAAGATAACAGACAGTATCATACTGAGTTTCTGCCAGCATGCAAAAAACCATGGTCATTAAGCAAAAAAGCAAGTCCTAGAATCCTGACCTCCACTTATGCAACAGCAACAATGGTGTGAACAGTACAATCTTGCCTTGCTACATTAGCAGGATTTTCTGCTCTACAGAAGCTCAACAGGACATTGACCAAGAGGATGTTATGTACTAGTAAAGAATGGAAAGATTGCATATTTAGCATAGAATTAACAGGAACAAGAAGGGAAAGGGGGGGAGCAGATGCTATTGGGACTGTAAAAATATTGGTAAAAAATATCAAAAAACATTACTAGGTGCATCAAAATTCACCAACATAAACACTGTCATACTCAGAAACAGTGGCCTCATTGTTTGCAAGTTGAAACTGCAGATATGACTCAGAAAACTGAGCTTAATTGCAGTGGGCAATTTTTTCTTCGATACCCCAGCCAGTACGAGTAATGAATGGCTGGGCTGGCTAGGATATTTTAGAAGGGGTAGCCCAGATAAAGTAATTTTCCACATCTCTGAGAAAGGCATACCCGCCACTGCTGAGAAAGAAGCTCTTGCTAAACTTCCAGGAGAGAATCAGAATTTGAGGGAACCATTGCTTTTCTAAAGAAACACCACTTAGCAAATGTCACTAGCTGAAGCAAAAAAACAAAAAATAGCTTTGTAGAAAGCTGGCAAAAGAATGCAATAATACTTTAATTATAATTTTGCATTGTTAAAAAAGAAAATTTTGGGCCTAGAAAAGGAAAATCAATGCAAGTGTAATAAGCCAGAATTCATTTCTATAGCAAATCGTATGAATCATATTAGTTCAATCAAGAGGCATTTGTTACCACCATAAAAGGCGAGCAGTTCTAAATGTAATCAAGAATGCTATTATTCACCATCCATAAGACCTCAGCTATTTAATTATCCATCCCAAATGCTTCCTAAATTAGCAGGCCCAACATTAAACTCAAAGAATATGACTGGCACCAGTGATCTATTAATGTTATCTGCTATTTCAGTTTCTTCCAATCAAAAGACACAAGTCTCTCTTTCGGAATAAATACGGCAATATAAAAAAGACCACATAACTAGTTTCAATGAAAACCCCTATAAATAATTAAATGTGCAAATACCAATTTCCAAAACCTACATTCTCTAAGTAGGTAAAAGATTGAAACTTGGAAGAACAGCAATGAAATAATTAGAAAAGATCGTCAAGTGTAAGGATGTGTCACTGGAGACCAAGGCCAAAATCATCCACACTCTTGTATTTCAAATCACTATGTATTGGTGTGAAAGCTGGAAGTAAAGAAAGTTTATAGGAAAATAATTGATTTCTTTGAAATGTGGTGCTGGAGGAGAGCTTTGCAGATACCTCGGACTGCCAGAAAGACAAACAAGTGGGTCCTAGATCAAATCAAGCCTGAACTCTCTCTGGAGGCAAAATATTGAAACTGAGGCTGCTCTACTTTGGACACCTCATGAGAAGACAGGATGCTCTGAAAACATAACAATAATAGGAAAGGTCGAGGGCAGTGGAAAAAGAGGAAGACCAAATATGAGATGGATAGACTGCATAAAGGAAGCCACAAGCTTGAGTTTGCCCAGTGATGAACTGGGCTACTGAGGACATTTTGGAAATTGCTCATTAATAGGGCCACCATCAGTCAGAGGCAAATTGACAGCACATAATGACAATGACAAAACTAACTACAGTTAAATATGAACTAGACTTTCAGCTCTGAACAACGCAACAAGCAGTTCTAACCAAAAGTGTAGCTAAACATTCTGAACTATTTTTTCATGAGCATACAGAAAGAGAAGGGAGTATGGCCAAAATACTGTAATAGCAATTATTAATGCTCACCTAAACAATGCTTTAGTACCCTTCTTAGCCTTGAAACTTCAGATTTTTTTGGCTAAAACTATTGCCTCTCACCATCAGTCTACTGCTGACACAACGAGAGTCAATCATCAAGAAACTAGCTTAACATGCCATTTTACTGTAACCAGTTTTACTAGTACGAAACATGGATAGTTGTTTCTTCCTTAACAGGAAAAAAATTGAGAACATATCTATTGCCCCCCACACTATAGCACAACAGTATTTTAGCAAAGAATTCTAAGTATATCTCTGAACCACAAATCCCAGAATTCCATAGGATGGAAGCATAACATTAAACTGCTGTAAATGAGTAACGAATGTACACTCTCAGAGCATAGCTGCAATAGCTCAAGATGACACGTGGCCAACTGATGTTGTGCGAATTCCAAACACATTCCCAGCTGCAATAGCTCAAGATGACACATGGCCATCTGAACTGGTACTAGACCAGCTGATGTTGTGCGAATTCCAAACACATTCCCTACTAGGAATGTTGGAAATTCCTTAATGTTACCCTCACTTTGCATCAGCAGAGTAAAGTTGGCCTGGAGGTGGTCTGGATCTGGCATAAGTTAGATAACTTTGCTCTAGTCTAGTGCATCTTTCCCCCACTTCCTATTTTAGCTGTTTTGCTGACAATTTGTGGGTGATAACAGCAGATTTGTTAGCAAACGTCCCTGCTTGCCAAAGGGGGTTCTGCCAGCATAAGAGCATCTGTCCTAGTACAGTATAAGAGGATTTCTGTCAAAAGAAGAGGCTTCCACCTATTCCTAAACTGTTACAGCCACAACATCTTCCAGTCACAATCACACTTTTACAGACATTTAATTTAAATTTTGGTCTAGTTGTCACATAGGCCAAGGAGATCAACACCTTATCACTCAGTAAAAGAAATAAGTTAGTTTGTCGCCTGAACTTAAATACATATTTTGAATTATAACACCAGTTCCTCCTGCTTTTAATTGTGTACCATTTTTATATCCCCTAGATTTTGATAATCTATTTCTCCCCTTTTCTGTTAAAACAACTGATACCTGCAACAAACTGTAATAGTGAGGTGCTCCTGCTCCAGTCATTTAGCTGTTCTCCTTCAGAATACTCCATTCCATTTCTGTGCCCAACTGTTTTTCTGTTCCCCTCCCCTTAAAGGTTTTCATCTGGATATTTTTTTAAAATTTTCTTTCTGACCATCTACAAATCTTAGGATCAACCAAATCTGTCAACCACATTTTTGAGTGCGCAGTGGCTCTGATTGGATTACATAAGTATCCACCCTTACTTCTGAATGCTGGAAACGGACAGGATGATTGCTGACACTCTTACAGCCCCAGAAAGTTTGCTATCAGGCAAGTATAGTTAAGAACTACCTGTCCTCAGAAGTCACGTCCTGCATGAGTCATTGTTCTGGGCATGCTTTCCAGTAGGAGAAAAAGGAAGCCCAGACAAGTGAGTCATAGAGCATCTTCAGAAGGCAGGTCCTCTTGTTGCATCTCCACAAGGGAATCACCTCTATGATTCACTCACTCCTGATGGAGGGATAGCCCTATTAGAGGCTGATTGGAAGGTGGAAAGGCCAAAACAGTAAATCTGAAGAAATGTATACCTGTGGTGGGCTTTCCAGCAGCACAGGGGCCTTATTTTCTGAAGCCATGGGCTGAAAAACTCCAGAGGTTGGAAGAGCATTTTTCCAGCTTAAGATCCTGCAGGAACTGCAGCAGCTTCTCCATGAAAAGTGACTGGAAAGTTACTTCTGGTGTGAAAAAGCTACTTGGGATGAGGGGAGGAGATTTTCTGCTACAACAAGGAGTGAGCACCTCTTGCTTTAGAGAAGAAAGCTGCTTCTAGAGGTTTCAGGAAGCAATTCTTATTTTTGACTACAAAAAAATGGGGGTCCAGCACTGCAAAAATAGTCTGGGAAGAACTCTCTGGGGACCCACCTCGGTTTAATTCCTACATCTCACCTGAATTCTCTAAACATGCACTCAGAGATTGGCTTCTCAAATGATGGAGTCCTGAACTTTGCTAGTTAAATATTCTTATTAAGATTATTAATTAATGACTGAACTATCCAGCCAGCTTTTACTACTAATAATAAAATTATTATTATTATCTCAAACTAACCTTAGCACAAAGCAAAAAATTCATCTCAGACTACTTCCAAATGCAACTGCACTACAGTTTTATCTTTTACCAAAAAAACAACAACAAAACCCAGAATTGAAAGTTCTTAAAGGAAATCACCTTTCTACCTGATCACATGAACTGGTAGGTGTATCAACTGAAAAGCTAATGCTGCCAGGCAGGCAAAACAACTGAAAACGAACATCCTTCATTGCAGGACTTATCCCAAGGAGTCAGGTCTGTGACTTTTCAGGACTGTGAAAAATTATAAACAAAAAATGAGGATGGTAATGTAACTAACTTTAACTAAAGTTCAAGTTTAATGAAACCATCCTGACCAGAAAACTTTTATTTTCACATTTTGCCATTCAGCCTGAATGTGATTTAGAGTGAAGGGTCTCACCCTCTTGTTTCCTAAAAATTAAATACCACATTCACCTAATTTCAATTCCTGAGGAAAATACTGACTCACTTCAAATGTCAAGCTGGTGCTTCTGTTTTCTACCCTTCTTTGGAACCCCAAACTTGCCTCAAAATGACCTCCAAATGGTTTCACAACTTTCCATATTACAGTAGGTTTTCAGGGTCCATAAGAAGGCTGACATGGGGAGAAGAATTTGCACACACACCCATTCCACTGGATTCCAAAATCGTACCAGTGGAAAGATAGTGCTAGACCCTGCCTGCTCTGGCTTTTTGTATGCACCGTGAGTATGTCTGCTATGGACCAAGTTCACATTCCAATCTACCACCATTCTTTGATGTATGCCCTAGTTTTAAACCATAAAAATAATACAGAAATGAGGACAACTTCTTTAAGGTATGTCTGCATGTTTGTTAGATGGCTCTTTACTGGAAAGAAAAAGACTGCATCAAGCTAAGTACTGCCAACCCCCTTCAGGCACAAATAGTATAAGTCATGTCAAAAATGTACTTTTAAAAGGGAGGAAAAATCTACACACCATACCAAGTGAAGTGCCTAACAATTATTCTATAGACTGAACTACATGTACAATAAATGTAGAAAGAAAATGTAATTCACAATTGCAGCAGCTTTCAGTAATACCAATACCATTATCTGTCTATACAAAACAAGACAGAATTACAAGCACAAAAAGCCAATATTAATGGTAGATGTTTACTTTCTCCATTTTACTTGGGAAACCCAATGAACTTTAATACCGTTTTATCCACTGTCAGTTTGGCAGCTGACCCAAAGTCCACCAGTTTGATGTGTCCTGTTCGGTCGATGAGGATATTCTCTGGCTTAATGTCTCTGTAAGTAAACAGCACTTATCACTTCATCGGAATAAAAACACTTCCCCTACTATGTATTACAGAAATCATGAGAATAATAAAAACTAAGGGAATGGAGCACAACTCCCAGAACAATTTGGACTGCAGCTCTTCAAAGGAATACACAATTTATTGTACTTTTTGTATGTTTATAGTATCTACTACACTGTGTTTTTTATTGTATGGTTTTATTGTATGTTGTGAACCACCTTGAGAGCAATAACTAGAGATGGGCACAAACTGCTGCTTTGGCAGTTCATACTTGTTCATCCTCTGGATGAAGAGGTGTTCAGCAGTTACCAGCTCCACCTCTTTGGTGGAAGCTCACTCGGAGGCAGTGCCCAGAGGAGGCAGGAAAGGGAAGCCAGGGTGCTGCCTCTGAGTGGGTGCCTGGGAACCGCCAAACATCTGTTCAGCCAATAAATAAACTGGAGATTCATGCCCATCCCTAGTGATAACACTAATGATGTGGTATAAAGGTGGGTGGGAGGGATGGACAGAGTTTTACAGATACAATCCAGCAGAGGGAGCAAGTGCTATCATACTATCCAGTGATTCAGTAAGTCACCTGGAACTCCCTTCCTGCTCCACATAACATGCAATTCTAATTCCATTTCTGCTGGATGAAATGCCTTTCACTGGCCGACTGCAAGAGTCTGCCGGCAGAACTGCTCTGCTGACTGTAAGGCCCCCCAAAAAGGCAAGCAAACAAAAAGAAGGCAAAGAGGCAAAGAAGAGAGTGAAGAAGAAACCAAATTACACCAAATCCAAGCATCCACCTATCCAGGGACACAGCCACTAAGCCAAGGCAATCCTGTGTAACTTCCAGTGTTCCTAAACTGGGAGGGGTATGGATTCAACACAGTTTCATCTAGTCGATTTCCAACTCAACTGCCCTCTGAGCTAGTTAAGACTGCATTCTACATTGCAAAGTTCTAAGCAAGGCTTCTCTACATACTCCCAATAGGAACACCTACAATGTTCACAATTAGAGATGGGGTATTCATGTTAGCCTCCCGGGAGAAACAAATACAAATATCGCCACCAGAGGTGGCTGAGCCAATGTGAAACACCACCACCACCCCTGAACCAAGCCATCCACCTACCACTTGTGGCACGACACATGCAGCCATTGTCATTATGCCATGCTTATCGCAGAAGCAGCCCAGCCAGGGCTTCCCCACCTCCCTGCGCTGCTGACCAGTCCGGGAAGGAGGAGGGATGACAAGTCTCCCCGCTCAGCTGCTCGGTGGTCAGCAGCGCAGGGAGGCGGGGAAGCCCCAGCCTTCTGCAATTGGCACAGCACAAACAACGACAGCCCTGCATGCTGTGCTGGAAGTGGTAAGTGGACAGCCTGGTTCAGGGTCCAATTGACCCAGCCATCTATGGTGGTGACATTCGTATTCATCTACCCTGGGATATCAACATGAATACCTACCTCATCACAATTCTTGCTTTAGCTTCATTCATTCTCTGGACCTCAAACAGTAAAGCTACTGAGCTTTCCTCATCAGAGAAGGATGATACGCCTGGCTTGCTTATTCTATATACCCTATTTTTAACCTTGTATACACTGGGTTACACTGTATAATGAAGTGAACAACAACAAAAAGACATTATGTCTCTATTAGGTTACAATGAAACATTACATTCCTCTTGCAACAAGAAGTTTTTTAATATTCCTAGTTTTTGCATACAAAGTCTGTACGCTGTGTATCTGAAAACCAAACAAATCACTTATTTGATACAAATTTAGTGTTATTATAGAATCATAATTGCAATATACATTTTCAAAACTCAGTGAGGGAACTGAGCAGTCAAAAGAGCCCTCCTCCAACTTCCCTTATTTCCCAAGAAAGTCCTCATTTCATAGCACAGACCTTAATTTTCCATTAAGCAGAATCTGGGAGTTTGCTTTCAGGATAAATATTAATGGCACACCAAAATAATCCAAAGTAGGGCAATGGTAATGATGCTCTGAGATTTAAGACCATAATCCCACTACTGTTTCAACTAAATTATCAAATTCATTCATTTTACATTGGAGCTCTGCTGTTAACCAGGAATAAGCCTGAACTATGCAGCAAGATAGGCATGGAAGAGTCCACGGTACCAGGGTGTATCTCAGTCCCTCAACCACAATAAAAGAATCATAGGAATTCACATCTCCACAAACCCCTTTTCCATCTAAAATGTGTGTGGATGGCTTGTGCTGCTCTATCTATTATTAGGTCATGACTCCCAGATGCCCATATCTCAGTCCCTCAACCACAATAAAGGAATCATAAGAATTCACATCTCGACAAACCCCTTTTTCCATCTAAAATGTGGATGGATGGCTTGTGCTGCTCTAGCTATTATTAGGTCATGACTCCCAGATGCCCTGGTCAACCAGCATGGTAAAAGCTGTGACCCACCAACATCTCAAGGGTCACAAATTGCCCAGTATGGGGATGAACTAACAATTCAGGTCTATTTAACTGAATTGTCACATAATATACACCATACATATGGTGGTTTAGATATAACACCGGGGTTTACATTTGAAGTCTAAAATTCAATGGACATGGACAAAATCCTTGAGCATACCTAAAGTAGATGTCTGGATCTAGGCAAGCTGTAAAGAAATCCTACAATTACATCAAGCTTCTGCCTTCAAATGTAGTAACAAGTACCATTCTAAAGTTACCAGAATGCTCCTGACAACATCTTGCAAATATATTCATTACTGCTACTTATATGCATACAGCTGTGAAAGGGAAGAACTCACTGACCGGTGCACATAGCCCATTTGGTGGACACTCCGAATGGCCAGAACTAGCTCAGCTAGATAAAACTGAACAGTATGTTCATCAAGTTGATCCTCATATCTGTTTAAGAAGGACAGTAGATCTCCTCCAGGCTCATATTCCATAACCTGCACTCAAAATAGTTACACCACATAAACAAAATAAGATTTGTTTTTTTAAAAAGTTATTATGCTATGGGAGACATACATTATTAGCAGATAAACAATAATTTAAAGAACAGTTTCTGTGTTCTAGCATATTATATTTTGCAGACATCTAAGAGCAAAAATATCCATATATTTCTAGGTCACTAACAAAAGAATACAAGAAATCATAGAGAAAAGCCTTTGTTAACATCAGGCCAAATACAGGAATCAGAATGCACAGCTACTATCAAAAGAAACTTACAGGCACTACCCTCTTCAACAAACTAATAACTAATGCTGTGGGGTGTGGAACCCCTGATCCAACATTGTGCTATTTTCTGAGCAAATTAACTACTACTGAAAAAATTATTGTTTGTTGACCAATCAACTCAAACCGAAGCATTTAGCAGGCAAGGGAAACAGCTGTTTGTGAAGACAGATGAACCAACAATTTGTTTTCCACTAGGTTAGGACTGACATATACATGAGACATAAGCTACACGTGGCCACCACTTGTCTTTAGGCTCTTTGGACAACGTCTGGGCACCCCATCCCTAAACAGACTGGGGATACAAAAAAAAAGAATGTTGCTGCTCTTTGAAGCCTCCAAGATTTCTTCTCTCAAACAGTGTGCGGGGTCTTGCTCTAGTGTGTGGAAGCATGCATTTCTGGGGTAAATCTAATAATTAATTTAAAACAATATAAACAATGAAAAAACATGTCCTGATCAGGCAGTCTTTCCATCACCGAAAGTAATGAGATCAAGAAGAGAAACCTAGCTCACACATTTGCCCTTCCCAAAATACTTTGCAAACACCCGTGCATGTTTCAATACAGGACTTCCCAGCTGAAATATTAACTTTCTGCAAAAATGAAGGAGACACACAGAAAAGTACAAAACCGAGATTCACTCTCCATGTCACTGTGCACAGATGAAACAGGGAGAAGCATTATTCACACAGGCACAAAGATACCTACATTCCATTTCAACTTGCGGTCTCTCTTCCTAAAGCTATTTTTTAAAAAAATATTTAAATGTCAGCTTATAATTGAAAAATGTAAATTAACTGTCAAGTACTCTTCATTTTTGGATTCAAATATTCACTATTCTGCAGAAGGCTCTCACCTTTCCTAGCAGAAAGATTTAACATTTAATTTAATTTGCCTCCGTAATTGCTTTGAAGTGAATGAACCATGATCCAGCTCTATCCAAAGGTCCTCGGTAGTCAACAACTTCCTCAGACGGTGAAGGTGAAAGCTATCAGCCAACTTGGAAGCCTGCAAAAACAAAACTCACCAAATAAAGGTTCTTTTTGTCCTGAAATGCACAATGCAGTTGTGGAATCCAAGGGTTGGTATTCTGGGATAATATATTCCTCTCTTCTTCAAAGAATGATACCTATAAATAAATATCAATCACCTTTAAAACCTTGGAGGAGAACAACAACAACAACAACAAAAGTGGGCACAGATTGGCATTTCAACTTCAAAAGGATCAATCGTCCACATGTAAAACTTTCAGCTAGTATTCCTTTTCAGGAAACATCAACTTTCAACAGTTAACAACAGGTTTCTAGTCCTTCTGGAGATAAGTTTTAAAACTGTGCAAACTGTGTTTAGATTTCAGTATTTATGGCCTCTATTCATGCCTCCTAACAATACTTGTGATCCATACAAAAAATAAAAATATCAAACGTCCACAACTGACAATATAAGAGAATACAGTTCTGCTTATATTGGCCGGCATCCTAATGAGCTTCTAATGAATTAAAAGTTTTGCAAACATTGCCAAAGTGGATGGAGGGTTTTCTTCAGGGAAATCACCATCTGCACAATCTACACTCTTGCAACGTACAGTTGCACTTGAATTCCATTTCACATTATAGTCTTTCTTCGTAAAGTGTCTTATAAATTGTATTAGTTTCCCCCTAATCAGCCATTCTTGAGCAGCACAGGAATCTATGTCATTGCAGCATCCTGAGCAAGGAGGAAATGCTCGTTTCCTCAACTATTAGTTACCCTTCTTAGAATTTCTGATTTTAAAAAAATGCCCATGCCTCACAGTCCATGGCAAATAGTCCCAATATCCTGATGACTACCCATCCTGAGCAAGATTTCTCATTGCTACTAAAATGTTAACACCAACAATAAAGTTATAAAATCAGAAAAGGAGCATACCTTATCCTGTGCCAGCAACATCCCCTTGCTCATCACCTTCATGGCATAGACGTCACCAGTTGCCTTTTCTCTCACCACCTGCACTTCTGCAAAGTGACCACATCCCACCAGGCTCCTGACTTCAAAGTCCTTCACGCTGGGTTGAAGCTCCCGCAACTCTGATATTGAACCCGAATCTGCACAAGATTAAGAGGCACCTTACACAAATAATGTTGGATTTTTCATCAATAACATGGCCCCTCCATTCTTCCCAGATCACCTGTATCACCTGTCCACCTGTCTCAGATTCCAGAAAATTTGGTGGCCCTTCTTTCCATACTGGAGTTTTCTCCCCTTTCCTCCCACCCCAGCACAAAGACCTTATCTTTACACACAAAGCCTTCCAGAGCCTAGGCATTTAACTCTCTGCTATTGTATTCTGAACATTACCCATGACTCCGACTCCTCTGAACTATCTGAATGCCACCTGCTGCAGTGAACAACCCAGGCCTTTCTCCTCAGTTGCCTCACTCTAAAATGTACTCTCAGGACGTTTCCATGGAATCACCTCCCGTACTTCCTTCAGATTCCTGCTCCAACCCCACCCCTTTCATATCCATTTTTTCTTAAGTTCTTAGTCTTCATTCTCCAATGAATTAAAATTGAAGTGTGCACCACTACACTCATGCACATTTATCTCCTGTCTTCTAGAGGTACACTAAAAAAGATCTAGTAAATGGGTGGTAGAAAACTACTGAAGTAGCTCACTTCTGGTCAAAAATAATCATTTTAACATTTTGAATTTGTTTGAACTTTACCTGTACAGTATTTCCTATATATCCATAATCTTAAATCGTGCAACAATCTGATACGAATATTTTAAAAAGGTCTCCTGACTTCCTTACCCAGTCTCTTCTCTTTAAATTTAGACTGTAAGGTTCTTGGAGCAGAAACCTGTCTTTTGCTTCCATTATTTGGTAAAACACCATATAGAGTGCTCTTGTTGCTATATAAGCAATGGTTTCAAATCAGAAAGGGAGGAAACTGCAGGCTTTGTGCTGCACTAAGCTAAAAATATATGAAATGGAGGCAATGGTAACATAAGTCAGGCTGATTATATAGTGCATAAATGAGCCTGGCACATTATGGAATACAGAAGCAATTTTCTGTCCTTCAAATCAAAGGTAAGACTAATAGGTAACCAAACGCTGGTGGATTAATGGCATCTACCATTTATACCACGCAAATCTCTGTATCCATCCAGGAGTCAGTTCGTGATTCAAAGTGTACATTCAAAACTGCCTCTTCAGAGAAGGGCCATCAATCTTTATTTTAGATGTCAATTATTGTAAAAAGTATGCACACTATGAAACACGAGAGGCTGCAATCCAATGCATTAGAATGGACGCTGGTGGACATAGTAGGGCTTACTTCTGAATAAACATGCACAAAATTGGGCTGCCAAATGCTCATCTTGAAATGCAAGCTACCAGCTAGCATATATACAAAGAACAGATAGCCAACATGATGCCTTCTGAAAATTCCTGGATTACAGGAGAGGATTTTGGGAACTCTACTCGAGAACATGCAAAGAGCACCAGAGTAACTACTCCCGTTTCAACATGGAAGAAAGCATATTAAAAATACCTGTTTTTGAAATATCTGTGCATGTAATGATCAGGTATTAATTTTATACAAAGAAATTCTATACAGTAGAAGACATAGACCTTCATGTTAACACATTCATTTTCTCTACTGCAGTATGAACAACATCCTTCCAGAATAAAATTGTTTTCGCCTTTTTAAGTTTGAAGAAAACCAAAACACATACACTTTTTAAGGAAGTTCCCCACATGCTTCATTTTCATTAAAGCAGGGTTGGCACATTCTTCAAAAAGCACCATTAGGGTGTCCAAAATCCCTTCTCTTGAAAGTGGAAACATCTGCTGCTGTACCATAGAGGGTAGCTTTCCCTGATAACAAAGATAAATGCCTGTGAGACCAAAATTGAAGAACATCTGCATATGATTCAGACACTATGTTTTTACAAGAAGAGGGGCAACCTGCAGCCCTCCTCAATGCTGCTGGTCCAAAATCTCCATCATCCTTTACTGTTAGCTCTCCCGGCAATCAGAGTTCCAAATTAATCTCTAGTTATCTGCTACAGGGCTGATGGACATTGCTCACTCCTATTTTTGGAAAATGTTTTATCCAGGCCACCATATATATCAAGAACAGCTTGGCTTCTTTTTCAAATTTTAGAAGAGGGATAAGGAACTTATGTACCTGTAACATTGTTGGACTAAGTATCCCACCACCCTTGACACATCAACCATGCTGGTAGACAACACATTCTCCACGACTGTTTCAAATACAATTATTTGACGGCAATGAAATATTTCCATTGCCATCTCTAATTGCTGCTGCTCTATAAGGTTGGACTGGTCATTTTACATACAAATATAACAGTCCCATGAGAAAGGGGAAAAATATGAAAAATGTTCAGCACCGCTATCTCCACCTCCTTCCCTCTACTAACTGGAATTGGATTTGCCTATATTATAGATGACTATTCAGAAATGAACCATACCTTTTTCAAAGACAGGATGAGAGTTGAAGAACAGGCATGTCTCTGGCATAGTTCCAGAGTGTGTGTGCACATGCAGATTAAACAATGGATTTAGTTTATTGGCCTGACCAGCAACTAGTTTTACCAAAATCATTTCACAAAGATAGGTGTCAGGCTCAAAGTAGAATACTTCAACCCCCTACCCCCACCCTGGTGTTTGGGGGAACTGGATTCCTCATTAAGCCTGAACAATAAGGTGAAAGGAAGGAGGATTTTTTCTTTTGAATCTAAAAGATCAAGGTACTTAAGGAAAAATAACCTCTTGCCAACTTTCATTGCCAAAGGAATATCTCTGGGTTGCCTACATATACAGTAGGAACTAGTGGCTGATGACTCCAATCAATGAGCCCGATTGTCCCAAAAGTCACCAGTTACAGATCGTTACCTCTTATTTTGAAAAAAGAACAGAGAGGCAGAAAATATTTGGCTAGAAGACTTGTTAATCCATAGTAAGAAGCACAAAATTCATGAAATGTAGGTGCTGATGCAAAACCAATGCATTTTACACTATATGAACAGAAGAATAAATTTGTACAGTACCTGGAAAAGCATATTAAGTTTAGAAGCACGGCTGGCAATGGACTCCATGCCTTGCTCCGTTGTGTTACGTGCACCATACTTAAACTTCAACATCTTCAAATTTCACCAGTCAAAGGCAGCTATGATGAAAGCTGTGGTTCATTGCAAAACTTGATTAGAATGAGTAATATTAAGAGAAGGTTGCAACATCTTTGGTGATCTTTTTGAATCCTATAATTTTACAAAAGCCAGCTATACTTTTGAAAGAAAGTTAACCAGTGTAATCTCACTGAAAACATGAGTCCTAGAAAAATATTGTGATGTCTTATACATGCAGCAAGGAAGGGGAAAATGTGCTTTGAAAAATTGAGCCACCATTTAAGACCTTTCCATAATCTAATAATAATAATTTATTGTCATTGTAAAAAATATTGTGATGTCTTATCAGAAGATCAGGAAGATTCCTGAATTCACCTCTAGCTGGCTTCTCATCTGATGAGGAATGTGGTTAGAAATTTGTAAAAGTGCACATGGCAGAGGTAGCGTTTCCTGGGAGCTTCATCAGACTTCCTTTAATACATTCCGCTTGCCTATAGCTGGCTACAGAAAGAATTATATCATTTCGAACTATAACTGTGTTAAAAAGGAAAGTGAGTTCCCATTAAGAGCCAGTGTAGTGGCTAGGAATGCTGGACTATGACTTGAGAGATCTGGATTCAAAAACTCATACAACCATGAAACCCATTGAGCATCTTCTCAGCCTGACCTACTTCACAGGGTTGTTGTAAGCAGGAAAGATAATCTCTTCAAGGCATTGGCCAAAAAGAGGAAGAGGAACATAAATAACAACTCAAACATGCAGCTGGGGGGTGGGGGGAGAACCCTATCCTGAGATATGCCATTTTTGACCATTCATCCTGCCAATGCTCTCCTTCCAGGTTAGAGTTGTGGGTGATTTTGTCACAAAACACATGAAAAGGATTTGGAGGGAAATGGGGGAATGGTGTGTGTGGAATGCAAGTGTATTTCAGCTCCTGAACCAGTAGAAAATGGACTTGACCACCAAAAGCTCACATTAAAAGTGAGACTTTATGGTGCCATTAAGTTTCTGTCTCTTGTTTGTTTTGCTTTGGGTTTTGTTTTGTTTTTTTGCCTGATACATTTGCAAATATTAACACAGCTGCTTCTTCAAAAACCTGCTAAACCAATTGGTTATTTGCAAAAACTTGTCCCCAAAATGGGGTAGGTCTTCCAAGGACCACCAAAGCTGTGGGCTCTTGCCCAGCCTAAGGAACAGAGGTATAAACCAGCACTGCAACGATTACACACCAACCCTCTGGAAAGAATACAGAGCAATGATGGCATAACACACACCCTTGACAAGGATGTGCAGAAGGCCAACAAGAACAGGAGTTTCCCCGTTCCCTTCTTCTGGGGGCATCCTGGGACTATGCAGCTTGCCCAAGGCCACACAGGCTGGCTCCACTCCTGCGAGTCACAGTCGGGAACTGAACACCTAACCTCTGGCTCCACAGAGTCACAGTCGGGAATTGAACGCCTGACCTTTGGCTCCACAGCCAGATACCTAAACCACTGAGCTCTCCAGCCAGCTGTAAAACATGTGCCACCAAGTCAATTTGGGCTAATGGCGATCCTTTTCAGGTAAAGAAATACTCAGAAGCGATTTGCCATGTGCTTCTTCTGGAGGCGCCCTGGCACTGTGCAGCTTGCCCAAGGCCACACAGGCTGGCTCTTCTCCCAAGACACACACAAAGGTGCTTGCCTTGAGCACCTTTCCCCCAAAAGACAGTGCTCGAGGCAAGTTACCAAAAGATAAATAAATATCAGGCAAAATCCAGAGGAACAAAACAAAAAGGCACCTTAAAGACAAAATATGCTAAAGTGCAAGCCTATCAGGCAAAATTTAAAGGGGAAAAAAATAACAAAAAACACATGACACCTCAAAGACTAACAATTACTGTACGTTTTAAGGTGGACCACAGAAGCTCACATTAAAATCCATTAGTTAATCCTTGAAATATCACATGGTTTTGTTCCTTTCCCCCCCCCCTTTGGATTTTGCCTGATATCCTTGCACTTGGATACTTCTGGTAATGGTGTGGATAAAAAATATTGTAAGTAAGTAAATCAATAAATGAATAAATGAATAAATAAATAAATAAAAACTGATTAAAACCAACATAAACCTTAATAAATATAAACTTCTCCCACCCTAACAACCTAGCCACCTGAAAAAAATATTTCCGAAAAACATTAAAATAAAATAAAATCAGAAATGACGGAGATTAAAAACAATACGGCGGTGAAGGTGAGACTCCTGAGGAGAAAAGTCAGCCCGCTACGGCCTGTGGCATCTTTAAGAGAGCAAGGACTACTTCATTCGCCTCAGAAGAAACACCAAACTCCCATTAAGGCACGAGCACGGCCTGGGGTGGGGGGCCCTCCCTCCCCGCAACCCCCTCAGAAGGCTGCCACACATTTCCTTCGCCCCATAACACGAGGGAAGAAGCGACGCCACCGGCCCGGCCCGCCCAGACCCAAAACCTACCGCCTCAGGCCCTGCTCCGCGCGCGCCGCCTCAGCCGCTCCCGCCATGAAGGTTTGAACAAACCAGGCAAGGAGTTGCGTCACCGACCGCCCCTGGCCAATCGGGCGCCGACTCTCCCGCCACGTGACTCCCCCGCCTCCGCCAATCCCCGAGCCGGGCTGCGACTACAAGCCCAGCCGGCTTTCTGACTCCTCCTCCTCCTCCCCTCTCAAAAAAGGGGGCGTGTCCAAAGCAGCCCAACGGATTTAACGGATTTTTTTTCCTGTCAGATTCAAGAGCCTGTCTTTTTTTCTTTCCCCCCCCCTTGTGTGTTTAATAAAATAAAATAAAAACCAGTGTTGTTTTTATAGTGTGTCCTGCTTAGCTCATATCCTAAAACTGCTTAGCTCAAGGACGGTCCCCCTGAACCCTCACAAACAGGGAAACATTATGAATGGCGCTTTTTCCTAATCTGTTGTATTTCCTTACAATGTTTATATTTGATATTAGAGACGCACAGATTCGTGTTTTGGAGCTACAATTAGGAAAATCTGGAAATAGAAAACTGCACATCTATGCATAGGGCTGTAGGGGCTTTCAAAGCAGCTTAGGAACCAATAATAAATTATATATATACAGTATATTTTCAGCTGCATGCAAGAGAGAGTGCAGTTTTAAGGGTTTTCCCCCCAAAGGCTTGCAATTTTAACAGGCACAGAACACGAGAACCCTTACACTCAAGTTCTTAATGTTATTTTTATTAATTATTTCATCATTGACCTTTCCTCTTATGAAATAAAGGCAGTCTATTGGCTATCCTGTCTTTGCTTCTCTTCAGAACAACCCTGCGAGGTAGAACAGGTTGAGAGACCAGGACTGGAATCAAGATCACCCAGTGAATTTCATGGGTTGGTGGCAGCTTTAGTGTCAATCCCCCCAAATTCCAGGCTGCTGTACCATAGTGACTTTCAGTCTCAATGGTTTGAAATGACGTTAAATTGTTATTAAAACTACAGAGTTTGGAAAAACTCCAATCTGATGGAGTGGCTGCTGGAGGATGACACTTAGGAGGAAGCAGAACCTGGTGAAGGTGGCGTCCAAGGTGGTGGCCCCAATATCCTTATATATTTGTTTTCATTTCCTGGGCAATCTCTAGACAATCTTTCTTTTTTCCACAGTGGCAGCCAGATCACTTTGGGAAACCAATATAGAAGCCAGGAACTGTTCACTTTTGTTGCCCAGAAACTGCTATCATAACCCGAGAGCATAAAATATTACATTTTAGGCTACAACTCTCAGAATCCCCCCCACCCATTGGGAGTTGTAGTCTAAAAAAAAGCAGCATTTCCAAGTTCTTTTTCTGTTCCTTTAAGATTTAAAAAAACAACATGCATTTTAACATACAATGGACCCTCTACTTAAGGAATTCAAAAAAAAAGCAGCATTTCCAAGTTCTTTTTCTGTTCCTTTAAGATTTTTTTTAAAAAACATGCATTTTAACATACCATTTTTCCCCGAAAATAAAACAGGGTCGTATATTAATTTTTGCTCCAAAAAACGCATTAGGGCTTATTTTCAGGGCATGTTTTATTTTACAGTCATGTCATCTTCTGGTTGCTGCCCAGTGGTGGAGGGTGGGGATTCACTTAACTAGGGCTTATTTTGGGGGTTGGGCTTATATTACGAGTATCCTGAAAAATCATACTAGGGCTTATTTTCAGGTTAGGTCTTATTTTCGGGGAAACTGGGTAAAATGTGCAGCTGGAAACCAACAGAGGTGTGACTGAAGAAAGGGAAAAAACATTGGGACAGTAATGCTTATCTGTTTATTAAGAGCCTAAATGACAGGCAGTGCCATATCATACCATTTATTTAAGTGTTAGGAAGTGCTTTGTTTCCATCCTTGAATCAAACTGCCCAAACCATTTTAAATTAACTTCTTTTGAGTCAGTAATTTCATCAGTACAGGTACTGTAAGTCTATACCTGTTGACTACAGTTTAACAGAAACTAAAGGCCGAATATGAGATGGATTGGCTTCTTAAGGGAAACCAGAACCTTGAATTTCAGAGAGCTAAGGAGAGCTATTAATGGTAGGACATTTTGGAAATCATTCATTCATTCATTCCTAGGGTTGCCATAACAGCAGCCGCAACAGCAAGAACAACAATCCTCTGTTTGAAGAGGAATTGAAGGACAATCCAGACTAATCTTATTTAAAGATAAGAATCAGAAGGGGGGAAATCACAGTCCTTGAAGATGTCCATCCTTAATTTGCAGCTCTGGGGCTGTGGACGGAATTTCAAGCACACACATTCCCCAGACGCAGTTTCCCCTACTCTGTTGAGATGTATTGTTATCTTTTTAAATAATAAAAGTAAAAGTAATGTATCTATAAATTGGCACATGCACTTTATGGAAATTAGTGCCTTTTCTGTCTACTTGGTTGATGACATATGCATGTCACATCCCCTTTTGCTGTAATTTCTAAGTGGCCACCCTATTTTGAACTCAATTTCGTCCTCAGCAACAGAACCAGGCAGCTTAAAATTATGGATCTGAGACCATTACAGCTACAACCATGGTGTCAAGTTTTTTTAAATGT